ATGTCGAGCGCTGTGGCGCTGGTGTGCGTCGGAATGTACGCTGTTCGCTTTGACAGCTTGCAAACAACAGTCAGTATCGCGTCATTGCCGTCGGACTCTGGCAGATTGGTGATAAAGTCCATCGAAATCGTCTCCGCACTCTGACGAAATTGGAATAGGCTGCATCAGTCCGTTCTTCTTGGAGGTACTTGACTTGTATCTGGCACACGCTTCACAAGTTTGGACGTGCTCCTTGACATGTATCATGTTGTTCCACCAATACCATTGAGATATCAGTAGATACGTTCTAATCACGCCTGGATGCACTACGCTTGCTGCGTCATGACTGTTATGCAGAATGGCAACCTTGAACTTGTCGTCGTCTGGAATGCAGAGTCTCTTAGATTTATTGTCGCTGCTCAAGTAGATGAGTCCGTTGATTTTCACAAATCTTTTGTCCTGTCGATCGCCTCGGAAGACGTCTCTGATAAAGCTGTCCTTCTCGTAGGCTTCTTTAATCGTCTTGTCTTTTATGTGCGCAGTGATGATCGTGTCCGAGTATTCAAAGCTGATCACGTTGTTCTGCATGACGGTTCCTTGTTGAATAAAGGCTTGCTTGGTTCCGGTTGACACTTGTGAGCTTGATGAACTGACCTTCCCCCCCAGGGAAACCTTTTGATCACGAATTGGAGTAGGTTCGGTGGCAAGTGGCGGACGTGACAGCGCGTCTGCGACGACATTGTGATGACTAGATCGATGCTTCAGCTCGAACTGGAATTGACCAAAGAAATTCAACCACCGAGCCAGTCTGCCTGATACATTTTTATGCGATAAAAACCACTTGCAGGCGCTGTTGTCGGTGATGACGGTGAATCCGGTGCCATGGAGATAGTGTCGCCAGCGTTTTAGCGCTTGTTTTATTGCATAGACCCCCTTTTCGTGGACTGGCTAGTTGATCTCATGGACACCGAGTTTCTGCGAATAGTAGGCCACTGGTAGATCGATGTTTTCATGCTGTTGTGACAAGACACCTCCAACACATTGATGTGAAGCATCCGTAGTGACAATGGAAGGCTTCTTGACATCCGGCAACTGCAGTATTGGTGCTTGTTGAAGCATGATCTTTAGCGAGTTGAATGCACTTCTTGTACATCGTGCCAACACCAGGCCGTTTCTTTCTTCAACAGATTGCTTAAGGGCAATACTAG